GGTGGATCCCAGGGGTCATGCCGCGTTAGCCCGTAAGCTCTGTCCCCGGGGAGGTCACCTCTCTCCACCCAGGTAGAGAGGTGCTCAGGCGGGGATGGTATGGGGTAGTGGTGGGAGGACGGCATGTCTTTGCAAATTAGCAGGGTCTGGTGCTTGTGCGCGTCACAGGGGTGAGGCACGGAGCCTGGTAGGCAGTGGTGGGCTTCTAGGAGGGGAAACAGTGGTGAGGTAGCAGTCAAAGCCCCAGGCAGGGCCCTGTGCGGCGCTAACTCCTGGGGTGCAGAGGGGCTGGAAGAGGAACCAGGGACCCCCCCAGCTCAGAATCCTGCCAGGGGTGAGGGGCGGGAGCAGATAAGAGTCTACATGCCCGGTCACCTTATCCGGGAGGAAGAGGATGGTGAGTGAGGCCAGCGCTCAGACTGTTTAGTTGTGTCTCTCAGCTGGGGCATAGCAGAGCCCCCCTCCCCAACCCCCAACAGCACCAGGAGGCGGCGGCGGGGGGGGGTGCTGCCTGCTCACAAGGCCCTCGGGGGCCCCCTTCTTGCTGAGGCCCTTCACCGCCGCTATCCTGGAAGGTTGAAGGGTTACAGAGGAAAGCTGTCCAGTTAAGTGGCCTGGCTCCCGACGCAGGCCCGGCCTGCCAGCTGGCCCAGGGCCCTTCCTCTTACAGGGTGTTGGGGTTCCCAGCCGTGCTGAGAGAATGACAGGAGTCACCAGGAGGGGACTCCAGGGAGGCTGACCCAGGAGCGGAGAGTGGGAGGCCGGGCAGGGTCAAGTTGATACGGCAGAAAGCTAATATTCCAGGAAGGGGGCTCATAGGTATTGTTCTGTACTTGTCCGTGTTTGCAGCATCTCCCGATTTAAAACGGTCGGGGCAGAAAACGACCTTGCTGTGTAGTACAGTCAAGTTCGCCGGGCCTCCTGCGGGGTCCTCCTAAAACCTGATTGTCCCTGAATTGATGAATGGCTCGCCTCCTTCCGTCTGGGATGGGGGGGGGTCTCTCTTCTCCCCCAGCCTCCGGTGCGGTCAGCCTTTGGGAAGTGCTGGGAGCTGCGTCCTCCTCAGTTACTCTGATCCTTCTCTGGGGGAGACTCGGAGGTGAGGGAGGCAGGGCAGGCAGGCAGGCTTTGCCCACACCCACCTGGGTGAGAGGTGAGGGCGTGCCCCGCGTCGTGCAGGTCGTGCCAGGGTGCGGTAGGTCAGGAGGTGCAGTGATCCGACAGGTAGCCTTGCTCGTCCTTTGTTGTTGTTGTTGTCATTCGAGGTGTCGTTGGGTGGGTCTAGCTTATTCCCCGGTTACGGACACTGGAATGCAAGGGACGGCTTGTGGGCGGGCAGAAACCCTGTGAACGGGCCCCTCCTGATTTGACTTTGACGCTGTGCATGGGTGGGGGGGCCTGGCCGTGGCTCTTTGGGTCCTGGCTTCTGGCTCACGTGGCCGGCGGGCGAGATGTGCCCAGAAGGCGGGCGCTGACGGCCACTCGAAGGGTCTAGGGAGCTTTGAAAGTTGGTCTCCGAGTGTGAGATTGCACTGAGCTGCAGCGGACAGGTGTTTTCAGCAATATCCTATGATGCCTAAAAATATTTAACGGCTGTTTCCAGATGCCGCGAGCTGACAGTTGTTCGAAGGAGTGAGTTCTCAGCGAGTGGGACGCTGGAGTTCTGTATTTGAGGAGAGACTTAGGGGCATAAATGTTGAATAGATAACACTTCAGTTTCATGAGGCAGTGGTTTTTTTTTCTTTTTTTTTTTTTTTTTAAATAACAGCTTTATTGTGGTTTAACTTACCCCACAGTCCACACGCCCGTCCAAAGAGAACACTCCAGCGATTATGAGTCTCTTTACGGATATGTGCAGCCATTAGCACAGTTAACATTGGAACGTGTTCATCGCCCGAGAAAGAAGCCGTCCTCCCTTCAGCTATCGACCCCACTCAGTCCTCCTTCTGCCCCCAACCCTAGGTGAGAGAGAGGGAGAGGCCGAGAGAAAGGGGGACAGAGGATCCGACGTGGACTCTGCTCTGACAGCCCAGAGCCCGACGCGGGGCTTGAACTCACCAACTGTGAGATCACGACCTGAGCTGAAGTCGGACGCTTAACCCACCGAGCCACCCAGGCGCCTCTCATAAGTGTTTTTGTTTTTATTTTTATTTATTTATTTATTTTTTAATTTTTTTTTTTTAATTTATTTTTGAGACAGAGAGAAACAGAGCATGAGCAGGGGAGGGGCAGAGAGAGTGGGAGACACAGAATCGGAAGCAGGCTCCAGGCTCTGAGCTGTCAGCACAGAGCCCCACGCGGGGCTCAAACTCACGGGGTGTGAGATCGTGACCTGAGCCGCAGTCAGATGCTTAACCCACTGAGCCACCCAGGCGCCCCTCATAAGTGTTTTTAAACATGAGGCTGTGATGCCGGGATTGGTGGAATGTTCGCTTACTAGATGTGCACAGGGAGTTTTCAGTTTTCAAACCTTTGGCGTCCGGTTCACTTGGTCCACTAATGACCGCTAGGGCTCGAAGAGGGACTTCTGCTCAGGGCGGTGTCCGGGCGACTGCAAAACTAGAGAGCCAAATTGTCCGTTCTGTGGTGCATTTAGGACTCTTACATCTGGCTTTCAGTTCAAAGCAATCAAAACAAACGAATCCTGACTTAAATTCAGTGTTCTGGCCAGGCCGTTGACTCCTGGAAAGGCCCGCAGAGACTCCCTATCTCGCCTGCCTCTCCCTGGCGGAGGTTAGATTCCTGAGCAAACACCGGGACCCATACCTTTGGATAGAATGGTCTACAGACACGATGTTTATGTTTCATCTGCATTAATAATCCCTCAGGTCGGGGTGAAGCCCTTGAAAGATCTTATAAACCATCGAGAGGGTAGCCAGTCCGTTAACCTGGCTTGCCACACTTCACGTTCTGCAGAATTCTCTCCGTAACGCCTGCCGCCCGCCACGCGTGTAGCCTGAAATCTTCGTGGGGAGGGGCTAAGGGTTAACCGTGAGGCCCCTGGAGAATCCTAGAGACCTTTGGATAGCTTTTGGAGGGAGAGGATTCAGAGCGGTTTGGATGCCCCCGTCAACATCCCGAATTACCTGCAGCAGGGCATTTGCCTGGAGAGCTCGCGGCTCTCAGACTTGGGGTCTGGGCCTGCACAGCCGGCCACGCGAGGGAGGCTGGCTCCGTGCCCATGAAATAACACGTCGATAACCTTGAACGCTTGGCAGACCAGGTCAGAGCCTCAGGTGCTGCGTGGCGACACTTCCCAGGTGTGCCCGTCCCAGCCTGTCCCTCTGCCCCCCGGCATCCCCACCTGGACGCCCCTCCCACTCCCAACCTGTCCTGCCCACGCGGACACTCTCCTGTGTCCGCGAGTGGCTCCCGTGAGCGGATGGGCCAGAATCCCCCGGGGGCCTCTGAAGGCTTTCTGGAGTGGGTCCTCCTCCGGTCCCCCACTGGCGCCCCTGTCTCCTGGAAGACTGCTTCCCCCTCTTACTGGTCATGCTTCCCGGCCCCACCCACAGTCCTTTCGTCAGCCAGAGCGGACTTCTAGAGAACAGAAACAGTGACTTAAAGCCCTTGGAATGTTTTTCCTTCAGTTCTTAGCATAAAACCCCTCTGCCTCCCATGGCTGCCTCTGGGCATTCCTCTCCAAAGTTAGCTGCCTGCCCTTGACCTCAGCCACCCTGCCCTTGACCTGCCCTTGACCTCTACCTAGAGGCTTGTTTTCCTTTAGGCTTGAGAGGCTTGCCCTCTGGGCTTCCTGTGTCACCCGGGAGGTCCCCTCTTTTGGCCTCTCTGTCCGAGTTGGGGCAGGGACCTTCTGCCGAGGTCTCCATCCTCCCTGTGGCTGGCACACCGGAGGCAGTCAACAAACTCTTGCCAAAGGAGCGCACGAATGAAAGCTGCGTGCCTTTTGGGGGCCTCTCCTGGGGCTCTTTGTTCCAATTAGCTGAAGACTAAGCTAGTTTGGGCTTTTGTAACTGGGCATCTGAAAGCGCGGTACCTGTTGATTTCCGTAGGTCCTACGCCCGCCCTCTGTAGGCTCAAACAGGTAAAAGCGGGAGGAGTCGTTGACGGCGAGAAAGCTCAGTGTCGGGTTTTTGCCCCGGTCCTCGGTGACTTTGCCCCTCTGTTAGCTGCCCTTTCCTCGCGGGGCGCTCGGGCAGAGTGTCGGAAGAGAAGGTGGCCGAGGGGCCGGCTGTGTGGGAGGGAGGCCGGGAGGGCATCAGGAGTGGCCAGGGAAGAAGACGGGCCAGGAGGAAGCGAGCCAGAGACCCGGCCCGGAGCCATTGACGGGAAAGGTGCGTTCATTTGTGGGCGCTCGTCAGTGTTCCAGCCTTCGGGGTGCTGACCCAGGTTGGTTTCAGTCACAGCCTCCGAGGAGGAGGAGGAGGAGGAGGAGGAGGGGGGGGCCTGGCTCCGACACGCATAAGCACCCACTCCCGAGGACTCCGTGCGCCTGGATTTCGTGGCGTCTTTGTGGCGACCGGGATGGTCTCTCAAGTCAGCAGCCACAGGCACACCCGAGTCCCGGTGCCCTGGCCTGAAGATGAGGGGTTCAGGGCCATCACGGACTCCTGTGGACCCTCTGGGTTTCTTCTGTGCCAGCCTCCAGGCGGCATTTGCAGGTTGCCGAACAGCCACCAGCTTCCTGAGTCAGCTGGGTGTGGCCTGGGCTGCTGGCCTGGAGGGTTGGTGCCGTGGGATGGCCCGGGGGCGGGGGCCAGGGGGTGGGGGTTTCTGGGTGGGAGGGGGCTCCCCTCCTGGACTCTGCTGATCCCCGCCCCAGGCCTCCGAGCAGAGGGTGCAGTGGGCTGTGTAGTGCCCGACAGGCAGGGGAGGGGTCGGCATGGAATCCCAGGATCGGATCTCTTAAGGGACCGTTAAGTTTGTCAAATGGCTAGGAAACCTGCAAATTCAGAACGAATCCCAGGGCTGTGGAAGGGGTTTTCTAACATCCGGTGAAAGGCTGGTGCGTTACGCTCTCTCTCTCCTCCTCCTCCTAGGGCGTTACTGAAGATGGCGGAAGCCCACCAAGCCGTGGCCTTCCAGTTCACGGTCACCCCAGATGGGATCGACCTGCGGCTGAGCCACGAAGCCCTGAAGCAGATCTACCTGTCTGGACTTCATTCCTGGAAAAAGAAGTTCATCAGATTCAAGGTTAGCAGATACCTGTTGAGATCTGTAAGGCGCTCACGTTAGCATCTGAGAAAACGCCTCCAGGTGCTGGTGAGGGGAGAAAGCATTTCAGAGCCGTGATTGCCGCGTAATTGATACTTCCTCTGTCCTTGTGAAACACACTCACTGGCTTCCTGAAGTTCTGGAAGGCAGGCAGGGGAACCGGCGCCCCTAGGCAGGTGAGTTGGGGTTCAGAGAGCCTGCTCGGAGAAGCAGAGGAAAAGACCAGCATCCGTGTCTCCTGGTTGGAGCCCAGAACTCCTTACGCCTTGTAGAAAAAGGATTGTTTCCCAGCTGTGTGGATTGCAGTGAATTTACCTAACGGTTACCTTGCTGATAAAATTAGCCAAACGTTGGGGCGCCTGGGTGGCTCAGTCGGTGAAGTGTCTGGCTTCAGCTCAGGTCATGCTCTCACGGTTTTGGGTTCAAGCCCCGCGTCGGGCTCTGTGCTGACAGCTCAGAGCCTGGAGCCTGCTTTGGATTCTCTCTCTCTCTCTCTCTCTCTCTCTCTCTCTGCCCTCCCCCCATGCTGTTTCTCTGTCTCAAAAATAAATAAACATAAAAAGAAATTAGCCAAACATTGAAATAGGTGCACGTAAATTCAAATATAGCTAGCTTCAAATGCTCTCAATCCTGTTTACCTGAAAGAGTGGACATGTATTCACCGTTTTTAATTAACCACGAGTCTTGTTTCCCCTTTGTTTGTAAATTCAATTTATTTCCAAAATCATGGAAGGAATAAAATACACATGTGGAAAAAATTCAGACGAGAGAATTGTCCGGTTCCTCCCCGCCCCCACCGGCAGTGAGGGAACCGGATAACTGTGTTCACTTTCCAGTTTCCTTTTCAGAGGGTGTGGCTCAGAGAAGGGCTGTTGAGAAGGTGCCAGGAGCCAAAGTAGGTGAGAGCAGTGACCTCAGAGAAGGTGGACAGGTCCCTGGGAACCGGCCTTGCTGGACAGGTGCCTGGGGCACAGCCAGAGGGCTCCAGGTCACAAGCCAGTCCCAGAGGCACCTGTGGCGGGGGAGGGCGCCACCTACAGGGAGAAGCGCGTTTTGCCACCCGACCTTGTCCAGAGCAGCCCCTTTTTGCCTTCAACTCCAAGAAAAGAGAAAGTTGGGTGCAGAGCTGTGGCCATCAGTCGCTGCAACCCAGTGCAAATGTTCTCTGGTCTTAAAGACCTTGTAGGACAGCTGAACAGTGCACAGCTGTGCCTAACCGAGGGGTTTGCAGAGGAGCACAGGGCTCGGAGCAAGAGGGGAGGCAGGGGGATGGCGGGTGAGCGGGAGACCTCTGTCTAGACCCTTCCTGCCTCTGTTTTATTTATTTATTAAAAATTTTTTTTTTACTGTTTATTCATGTTTTGATAGAGACAGAGCATGAGCAGGGGAGGGGCAGAGAGAGGGAGACCCAGAATCTGAAGCAGGCTCCAGGCTGTGAGCTGTCAGCACAGAGCCTGATGGGCAGGACTTGAACTCATGACCTGAGCGGAAGTTGGACGCTCAACAACTGAGCCACCCAGGCGCCCCCTGCCTCCCATTTTAATATAACGTAATATCTGTATTTATTTGTCTTAAAAACATTTGCTTCAGAGAACACCAAAAAGGACCCCCACTTTGTTTAAAATCTCTTTCCTTTACGCCTCTCAATAGCGGGGGATTGGGTGGGAATAGCATGTAGGGATGCAGCTGTCTTCTAAAAATTCAGGTAGGCTTTGAGAGCTTTTAAACCCATTGTCTTGGTCAAAGCAATCTCTTATTAAGATGGCTTTATTAAGAATTTCTTGGGGCGCCTGGGTGGCGCAGTCGGTTAAGCGTCCGACTTCAGCCAGGTCACGATCTCGCGGTCCGTGAGTTTGAGCCCCGCATCAGGCTCTGGGCTGATGGCTCAGAGCCTGGAGCCTGTTTCCGATTCTGTGTCTCCCTCTCTCTGTGCCCCTCCCCCGTTCATGCTCTGTCTCTCTCTGTCTCAAAAATAATAAATAAACGTTAAAAAAAAAAAAAAGAATTTCTTTGAGTTAGAAGTTTTGAAACACGTAATGAAGAGAAGAAGGAGCTACACTGCTCACCTGGTTTCCAAAATTTTGTTTCATATCTGCTGGGCCCTCACACCTGCTCCTTTTTGTGGTTTTTTGCTACTTTTAGTGGTGGGGGTGTTGGCTGAAGGATGGTTCAACAAATTCTCAACATGGAGTGAAGTGTCTTGGAAATACTTGGGGGTCGAGTGGTCTTTTGATTCAGGAGCAGCAGGAGGGGTGGTTTGGGAGCTGGGGTCTTGGGGCATCCCAGGTGTAGCAGGTTGGGGACAGGACTTCATGGTTGGCTCAGTGACATCCTTGAATTTTTTTTTTTTTCTTTTACATTTATTTATTTTTGAGAAACAGAGTGAGACAAAGCGTGAGCGGGGGAGGGGCAGAGAGAGGGAGACCCAGAATCCGAAGCGGGCTCCAGGCTCCGAGCTGTCAGCGCAGAGCCCGACGCGGGGCTCGAACCCACAAGCCGCGAGATCATGACCTGAGCCGAAGTCAGACGCTCCACCGACGGAGCCACCCAGGCGCCCCAGTGACGTCCTTAACTCGGTGTCATGAGTCAGTCTGGATGGAGATGGGGGGAATCAGTGTTAAGCTGGTGGCTCAGGCGATTCTCATGTCCTGGGGTCACTCTCAGGGAATCTGCTCCAGGAGGGGATTGGCTCAGAAGCAGAGGAAGCGAAGGGGCTGGAGGCCCTGGGGAAGATTTCCAGTAGTGACAGTGTGGTCCCTTAGCCACGATGTGCTGCAAACGCCTCCTTCCCACTGTCCATCATCCCACTACCCTCACTACCAGGGGCCGTGGATTTTGTGGGCGGGACGTGCTCACGGTGCATGCTCTGTTTCCAGAATGGCATCATCACCGGCGTGTACCCGGCCAGCCCCTCCAGTTGGCTCATCGTGGTGGTGGGTGTGATGTCAACCATGTACGCGAAGATCGACCCCTCGCTGGGAATAATCGCGAAAATCAATCGGACCCTTGATACTAGGTAAGTACTCTTTCCAGATCGCAAACCCTCTAGGAAGTTAGCGATTCTCGTTAGTGATTTTTGTCGCTGGTATGTATTCTTTTATTATTAAAAAAAATTTTTTAACGTGTATTTATTTGAGGGGGGGGGAGGGGCAGAGAGAGAGGGAGGCCCGGAACCCAAAGCAGGCTCCAGGCTCGAGCTGTCAGCACAGAGCCCGACGCAGGGCTTGAACCCACGAATCACAAGATCATCCCCTGAGCTCAAGTCAGAAGCTCAACCGACTGAGCCACCCAGGCGCCCCTATTTTCTGGTTGGAAAGCATCCTAGTACCTTCCAGCTGCCGTGGCTGTTCCGTGCCAGACCTCCAATCCTATTTCTCTGTTGCTTGTTTGCACTGACAAACCTTTTAAGTCTCTTACTAGAGCGATAACGGTCCCCAGAGGCCTCGTCCCATAGCTGGGCTTTGTTTTTCGGGCCAGAGGGCACATGTGGACGGTGGGAACCCCGGTGACGGACGAGAGGGCAGCCCAGGCGTGTCCTCATGTTTCCCGGGCCGTCCCTGTCGTGTCGGGGGCTGGCCTCAGCCGAGCAGATGAACTCTGGGCCTTTTGAGAAAGCAGCCCGGAGCCTGCTTTCAATTCTGTGTCTCCCTCTCTCTCTGCTCCTCCCCCGCCCACACTCTCTCTCTCAAAAATAAATAAACATTAAAAGAAAAAAATTTAAAAGCTTGGCCTTGGGTCGCCTTGAGCAGGTGCCCTTTGCCCTTGATCCCTTCTTGTTGAAAGCCCAGAGGCCAGCTGAGTCGCTCCCGGCCTCCACGCGGCCTCAGGAATGCCGGCTGGGGCCTTTACAAGCGTCTGCAGGGCCTAGAATAAAAATACCATCATTTCAGGGGAAGCGTGCCTGGGCTGAACGCCTGCCAGATCCCCTGCGCTGCCTTGGGGGCCCGGGAGGCCAAGGCGGGGACCCCAACATTCCTGATGCCCTGGGCAGACCTTGCTCCTCCTGTCCTGGCGATCCTGGGGAGTCACAGGCCGACCTCTGCAGACGGCTGGCCTCCACCCTGGGTCATACTGTTTCTCCGTATGTTTCAGACTGCTGTGGGTTTAACACAGATTTTTAATTTACTCTCCAGTGTGGACTCTTAACACTGGATTATATTTAGAAGTCTTGGCTATTTACAGCCCTTTATAATCTGGGCCTTTATACGATTTGTTTCTTTGCTCCCTCTAAACCAATTGCAGTGAACTGGGCCGTCCCTGGCCCAGATTTAGAAAGAACAGATTAAGAGCCAGCGTCTTCCAGGCTCGAGGGTCATTCTGGAACCATCTTCCTAGAGAGCATCTCCGACGGTCCCGGGTGACTGTTTTCATAAGCATAGACGTACTGGCTGTGTGGGGTGTGCTCTGTGTTTGTCTGGCCCCTGCAGCCTCGGAAAGAATGTGTTCTTTAAAAGAAAGCTTTTTCGGGGGGCACCTGGGTGGCTCAGTCAGTTAAGTCTCTGACTTCGGCTCAGGTCATGATCTCAAGGTTCATGAGTTTGAGCCCCACGTTGGGCTCTGTGCTGACAGTGCAGAGCCCGCTTCGGATCCTCTGTCTCCCTCTCTCTATGCCCCTTTCCCTTGTGGGCTTTCTCTCAAAAATAAATAAAAAAAATAAAAGGAGGCTTTTTTTTTGGCTAATGCTTGTCGTCCAAGTATCCATATGTATATTATATTAAAAATCCTGAATGTGTCATCCCTTTGTTAACGTTATGATACTCTCCAATTTTTGTGGACCTAACAGGTATGTGTCTTTTCCTTCAGTGATGTAGGACTTCGGAATCCAAAGCGTAGATGATCTGAGAGATAGGTTCTTAAATGCCTAGATCTAAGCTGGCTTATAGATTACACTATCCGAAAAGAAAGTGTAGAGATAAAGCAGAGGCTATAGTTAAACTTGGACACAAGATTTTTTTTTTTTAAGTTTATTTATTTATTTTGAGAGACAGACAGACAGAGCACCCGAGTGGGGGTGGGGCAGAGGGGGTGAGAGAGGGAGAGGGAGACGGAGAGAATCCCAAGCAGGGACCATGCTATCAGTGCAGAACCCCACATGGGGCTCGATCTCACGAATGGTAGGATCATGACCTGAACTGAAACCAAGAGTCAGACACAACCTCCTGAGCCACCTGAGCACCCCAAGCTTAAACACAGGATTTGACGGCTTATAGAAGGACACAAATTTTGGAGCAAAAGTATTTTACCTTGAAGATAATTAGTTTCAATGTCACTTAAGCACGATAAGGTGTTAACTTGGCGGTTTTTCAATATTGGAAGTACCTTTAGCTTCTGTATATTGGTTGTGTTAATAACTTGAAGCACACTTAAATCATTTAAAAAACGAGATACGAGATACAATTGACGTATAATGTCATGTTAGTTTCAGGTGTATAACATCATTTGGTAGGTGCATATACCTTTAAGTGATTACCACCAGCCTAATTAATATTCATCTCCCCATATAGGTACAAATTTTTTTTTCTTACGGAGAGAGCTTTTAAGATCTACTCTTCTAGCAATTTTTTTGAAAAGTGTGTACTTATTTTGAGAGAGAGCAAGTGTGCATGCAAGCAGGGGAGGGGCAGAGAGAGAGAGAGAGAGAGACCTCACTGGCAGCACAGAGCCCGACATGGGGATCAAAATCACGAACCGTGAGATCGGATGCTTAACTGACCGAGCCACCCAGGCTAGCGTCCTCCCTTTGGTTCGGGGTCCAGAGTGTCACTGGTGTCGAGGGGAGGCTGCTCTGGCTGGCAGTGCGTAATGCATTCTCGGCTTGTCTCGTCTCCCTAGCGGCTACATGTCCAGCCAGACGAAGAACGTGGTCAGCGGCCTCCTGTTCGGCACGGGGCTGTGGGTGGCCCTCATCATCACCATGCGCTACTCCCTCAAGGTGCTGCTGTCCTACCACGGCTGGATGTTTGCCCAGCACGGCAAGATGAGCCGCGCCACCAAGATCTGGATGGTAACGGAGCCTCCCTTCGCCCTCGGTGCCGGACTCGTGTGGATTTTTTAATTTTTTTTATTTCTGAGAGAGAGAGTGAGAGCGACAGAGCATGAACAGGGGAGGGGCAGAGAGAGAGAGGGAGACACAGAATCCAAAGCAGGCTCCAGGCTCCAACTGTCAGCACAGAGTCCGATGTGGGGCTCGAACCCATGAACTGTGAGACGCTTAACTGTCCGAGCCGCCCAGGCGCCCCTGGTATTGGTTTTTCCTTTTTTTTTTTAAGTCCTTTTATGGGGCACAGTTTGACGTACAAAAGGCCGTAGCTGTTTAGCAGTGTGTCCGTGGGGACGTGTGTACCTGCAACCCCATGATCAGTCTCCGGGCCATAGACTTAGCTCCTTGCAAAGTTTCCTCACGCCCTGCCCCGTTTTCCTCCGTGGAAAGAGCCCATGAACGAGATCCACCTTCTCAGCAAGGGTTTAGGCCCACAGTGCGGCGATGTCGGGGACAGGGCCAGTGCCCCGGCTGGGCAGCCGCCGCCCTGTTCGCCACGGTATCGGTCCTTCTGTGGCTGGCTCGCCTCACCTGGCACGGAGTCAGGTGCGGGTACCTTGTACTTCCAAAGGAGGATCCCCGTGGACCTCTCCCCTCCACGCTCAGCTGGTTGACCTGGGAGTTGGCCTCTCCTTGCTGCCAGGGGCATTGCTTCCCCGTGACTTGAACGTGTGGCCAAAGAGTAAAGAGTCCGGGAGTCCTGAACATGGTATATTAGCGTGTGCTAGGCTCGCCATCCATCAAAGTAAAGTGACATCCGTCTGCAGCTTTCAAAGGTCTTCTGACTGAGTGGTTCCCCTAGCCGACCGGTCTGACCAGGTCTCCCCGGTTCACCCTTCTCCCCGAGGGGGTTTTGCCTGCTCTCCTGGGCCCGTAGTCTGAGCGTCCCCTCGTCTGCCGTGCATGTGGACGTTTGTCCGACTTCACCCGTGACGGCTGAGCTCCACCTCCCGGGGCCCACCCGCACCCACACGCTTCGCTCTCCTCCAGACCGACTTCCTGTGCCCACGTGGCTGTGAGATTTCAGTTTTCCAGAGAAGCAGAATTTAACACCCACCAGAGAGTCAGAGACGGCACCCACACTTCACAGAATAAAGCTAAATGGTGTTCCCACGATGGCATTCTGGTCACGTCCAGTTGAGTCCCAGCCGCCACCCCCCCCCCCACCCTTGAGCCCTAGAAATGCCTTTGAGGTCTGGTCCACAGGAGATGACCAGTTACGACACCAAGGTTAGATCATTCCAGATGAAAGCGAGGGCCGATAGGCAGATAGATGCGTGCTGTCCATTGGGCTTGGCGGTGGCTGAGGGGGGGCCGCACCGCTGCTCCTGGGGTTGGCTCGAACCCAGGCTTCTCGGTCCAGCCCCTCGTCACCGTTGCCAGAGTTTTGAGCCAGTCCCTAACCCGAGGGCCTCGCAGAACCAGCTGACTGACACGGGGCCCGCATGCAGCGGTGCAGTCAGACAGCAGAATCTGGGCACCCGAGAAGGGGTCCTGTCCCGGGCACCTCGCGGCATGTGTCAGACTTGGGCTTTCATCAGCCTGGGTTTCGTTTGGGCTTCCCTGCTTGTTTGTGTGCCCGGGGGCGGAAAACAGACCAGAGGGGACACAGGCCACCGCAGAACATCCGCAACCAGTTGGCAAGTCGTCTACGCTTGAGAACCGGTTTCACATCTTTAACGCGGTCTCACGTTTTAAAACGTACCTTTTTTGTTTTTAAGGGCATGGTCAAGATCTTTTCGGGCCGCAAGCCCATGTTGTACAGCTTCCAGACGTCTCTGCCACGCCTGCCGGTCCCTGCGGTCCAGGATACTGTGAACAGGGTAAGCGTGGCTTCAGCTCGCTGTGACGCCCGCTCCGAGGTGCAGGTGTCCTGGGATTCCGCTTTGTGACCGGGTTAATTTACCATCATTGGGTCACGGACTTGTCTGGCTGTTGTGGGAGATCTTTTCCTTTCTGATGTATCAGCATGTGTTATGTGTTTTACTTTTTTTTTTTTTTTTAATTTTACTTTTTTAAATGTTTATTTGTTTTTGGGAGAGAGAGACAGAGCATGAGCAGGACGGGGGTGGAGAGAGGGAGACACAGAATGTGAAGCAGGCTCCAGGCTCCGAGCTGTCGGCACAGAGCCCGACGCGGGGCTCGAACTCATAAACCTTGAGATCGTGACCTGAGCCGAAGTCAGATGCTCAAACGACTGAGCCACCCGGTTGCCCCCGTATTAGGTGTCTTTTAAAAGGTATCACCCTTGTTAGAGAAACGGCTTCACAACGTTTTTCTTAGATAGCTTCGTTGAGCCATAATTCACATGCGTACAGATCCGTCCCAAGTATCTAGTCCGACGGTCTGTTAAGTGCTTAGCGCTTTACGTTGTGATAAAAGCGTATATGGAACGTAAACATGACCGTTGTAACCACTTGGAAGTGTGCAGTTGTGTGGCATCGAGTACATTCTCTTAGCACAGCCTCCACCACAGTCTAGTTCCAGAACTTTGCGTCCGCAAAGCCCCGTGCCTGTGAGCATCATAACCCGTTTTACGCCCCCGCCCCCCGGCTCCCACTAGGCTGTCTCTAGGTTTGCCTGTCCTGGAAAGTTTCCTGTAAGTGGAATCCTGCAATATGTCCTGTGCGCCCGGCTCTTAGACCGTTGAGATTTATGTGTCCCTCAGTCTGTCATTCCTATTGATGCCTGGATGCTATCCACCTGTGTGGTCGGACCGCACTGTATTCATCCATGCATCTGTCGATGGACATTTGAGTTTTTTCCACCTTTTGGTTGTCACGAATGGTTTTTGTTTCCGTTCAGGCACCTGCTTGCGGTTCTCTCGGGCACGAGCCTGGCACTGGGATCACGGGATCAGGGAGGATTTCTTGTTTAACTTGTCAAGGAACAGCCGTGCTGGTTTCCATGGCGCCTGCGTTCCCACCGCAACCAGTTTTTGCCTGTCCTGTGGCCCCACTTTAAAAACGTCTTGGCTTTGGGGGCCCCTGGGTGGCTCCGTCGGTGGAGCGTCCGACTTCGGCTCAGGTCATGATCTCGCGGTTCGTGGGTTCGAGCCCCGCGTCGGGCTCTGTGCTGACGGCTCGGAGCCTGGAGCCTGCTTCCGATTCTGGGTCTCCCTCTCTCTCTGCCCCTCCCCTGCCCATGCTCTGTCTCTCTGTCTCAAAAATAAATAAAAACATTTAAAAACATGTCTTGGGTTTTGAATCCAGGCTTAGTCATTTAGTTTCTGTTGGCTTTTTCGAGTCCCCCCTCCTCTGCTCTCGTGTGCCCTCCCCTGAGGACGGGCCTAGCGACACCTGTGGTTCTGGTGACTGGCTCGAGCTTATTCTAAGTGTTGTTTTCAGTTCCACGAATGCACATCTCACTTTGAATAAACTGGAACAGCCGGTTGGTCTCAGCAATGGGGCCCCACCTTTAAACATTCAAGATTTCTAGAGATTTCATTGCTGCCTCAAAGCCGTTTTCACAGCAGATAATATTGGCACAGTGAAACGTTTCCTGGTAAACCGAGGGCTTTACTTTCTTGTGTGTTTGTGATGTTTATTTTTGAGAGAGAGAGCGGGAGCGGGTAAGGGGCAGGGAGAGAGGGGGAGAGAGCACCCAAAGCAGGCTCTGTGCTGTCAGCAGCGAGCCCATCACGGGGCTTGAACCCATGAACTGCCAGATCGTGACCTTGGGTGAAGTCGGATGCGCGACCAGCTGAGCCCCCCAGGCTCCCTTCTTTTTTTGTTTTTGTTTTTCATAATTGTTTTCATTCTTTTTTTGTTCTTTTAAAGTTGGTTTACTTATTTAGGAGTCGGGGAGGAGCAGAGAGAGGAGAGGCAGAGAATCCCAAGCAGGCTCCACACTGTCAGCGAAGAGCCCGACGTGGGGCTCGAACTCACAGACCATGAGATTATGACCTGAGCCAAAGTCAGACGCTTAACCGACTGAGCTGCCCAGGCGCCCCAAGATTTTCTTTTCTTTTAATTTTTTTAATGTTTAGTTTTGAGAGAGAGAGAGAGAGAGAGAGAGCATGAGTGGGGGAGGAGCAGAGAGAGAGGGAGACACAGAATCCGAAGCAAGCTCCAGGCTCGGAGCCGTCAGCACAGAGCCCCACGCGGGGTTCAAACCCAAGAACCGCGAGATCGTGACCTGAGCCGAAGTCGGACGCTCAACCGACTGAGCCTCCCAGACACCCCGCAAGATTTTATTTTTAATCTCTACACCCAGCGCAGGGCTCGAACTCCTGACCCCGAGATCAAGAGCCACGCGCTGTACTGACTGAGTCCGCCAGGCGCCCCGCTTGGGGAAGATTTTTGAACCTTTGAAATCTGTTCACGGTTTTTTGTGAGGCACGGATGAGGGGCCCGTGCATTTTAACTTGGCTTATGTGCTTTTTCGCCAACCCCAGTATCTGGAATCGGTGAAGCCACTCATGAAGGAATCAGACTTTAAACGCATGACGGTTCTCGCGCAAGATTTTGCCGTCAGTCTCGGACCAAAACTGCAGTGGTATCTCAAGTTAAAGTCCTGGTGGGCTACAAACTACGTAAGTGCTCCCACACACCGTCATTCTCGGGGCCGAGTTTTTCGTGTGCAAACACGGGTCCGTGCCACGAAGCCGGGCTCCCCCGTGTGTGGCCGCAAGAGGGGGCCGCCTGGCGGGTGACCCGAGATGGGATGTGGAGGAGACATTAACTGTGACCGGACAGACCCGACGATGAGGCCGCAAGTCGGGGCTGGGGGGCTGGGGGGCAGTGGCAGGGGTGGGGGGTCGCGCTGTGTTTTGATGAGGCCCCGTCTATGAGGGTGTGGAACTCGCACACCCACCCGGGCTCCTGTGTGCACCGATGCGTGTGCACGCACACACGCACCTCAACACGAAGCAGTGTGGCAGGAGTCCCCCAGACCAGTCCTTGCCCCCCCGCCCCCCCCCCGGGCCCCGCCAGTCTGTGTCACTCCTGCTAAGCTCACCAGTGGTCTGTCCTGTGTGCACCCGACAGGTGAGCGACTGGTGGGAGGAATACATCTACCTGCGGGGCCGGGGGCCACTGATGGTGAACAGCAACTATTATGCCATGGTGAGTGGCCGGGGAGCGCCTGTCCCCGCTCCCGCTGGCCCTGGGCTTCCGTCCGCAGCCCCGGGGACCTGCCCTCTCCCTGTCGTCACCCCGGGCGCCGGGTCGTGCCACAGCAGCCTGAGGGCCCGTGTCCCTGCCCAGCTGCCGCGCTTAGTGACCTGGTGGGCCAGGCGCACAGCTTTCTCCCTCGCTGCCCTAAGGCGCCAGGAGACCGAGCCCCGTGTGTCATTCCCGGGTCTCTTGGGGTTTTTTTCCCTGTCTTCTGCGACATTGATGGCCTGGGAGGGCACACGCCATTCTTTTGTGAGAAGCCCCTGAAAACGGGGGGTTTTGAGAGCTGGCATTTAATACCTGTAATAACTAGCCAACCTCATTCTTTGTCTCTTGCTTTGTCCTTCCCTTCCTTTCGTTTTCCCGTGAAACGTGAAATAAAACCGGCAAAGCGTAGGAAGCGGGGTTTCGGTTTGTTTTCTATCAGAGCAGGTGTGATTTCACGGGTAGGGAAGGATTTCCGCGGTGCGGAAACGCCCTCCTGTGTAGTTACGTCAACTTGTCTCCTCCTACGAGTGTTCTCTGTGCCGTGTGCACCTTTCCAGGACTTGCTGTACGTCTTACCGACGGAGATTCAGGCGGCGAGAGCCGGCAACGCCGTCCACGCCATCCTGCTGTACCGACGGAGACTAGACAGGGAGGAGATCAAGCCGGTACGCAAGCAAACTGCTCTTTAAGAGTTTCGTTTTTTATGTTTGTTTATCTACTTTGAGAGAGAGCGCCTGCACGTGTGGGGGAGGGACAGAGAGAATCCGACATAGGCTCCGGGCTCTGAGCCGTCAGCACAGAGCCCGACGCGGGGCTCGATCCCACGAAGTGTGAGATCATGACCTGAGTGGAAGTCGAGGGTCGGAGGCTTAACAGACTGAGCCACCCGGGCGCCCCTAAAAAATTCTTTTTAAGCGGCTTTGTTGACGTGGTGCACATACGTGAGGCATGCGGTTTGACAGGTTCTGATGAATTTATATAATGTACCCCTGAAACCATCACCACGGTCAAGACCGTGAACACAGCCGTCACCCCCAGACGTTCCCCTGGGGGCCTTGTGCTCTCGCTGAGCCTCTCCTTCACCTGCCAGGTAACCGCCGCCTGCCTCCTGTTGCTCTCGATTGTTTGCATTTTCCAAAGCTTTGTGCAGGTGGAATCCTACAGTGGACACTCTCTCTGTCTCTCTGTCTCTCTCTCTCTCTCTCTCCTTTCACTCTGTATAATTATTTTGAGATTTAACTCTCCGTGCGTATCCTAAACGGATGTACGTTCGTTGTACTTTAGTCCCATAATCAGCCCTGGAAGAAGCCCTTGCTTGCTTGTGCAGGAAAATGGTTAAGCTGGTAAATTATTCAAGAGGGACGAGATGTTCCTTCCTTCTTCATGCCCTGCAGGGAAGGGAGCCCAACGCAGGGGCTTAAACTCAAAACCCTGAGATGAAGACCTGAGCCGAGAGCGAGGGTTGGACACTTAACTGGGCCACGCAGGCGCCCCATCGTGTCATGTCCTTTCATCCTCCCCTCCCCTCCCCTCCTCTTCCCCTCCCCTCCCCTCCCCTGCCCTTCCCCTTCCCTTCCCCTTCCTTTCCCTTTCCCTTTCTCTTTCCCTTCCTCCCCCTCCCCTCCCCCGGGGGGGGGGGGGGGG